CTTTGTTACTTTTACTTGAGTAAAGAAGTTTAATCAGTACTTCCACTTTTACCAGAGTATTTTTTAACACAAGTATCTGTTCTTTTACTCAAGAAAAGAAAGTGAGAACTTTTGCCATCTCTGCTCGCTGCAAACACTGAAGGGCCTAATCTTCCTTAGGAAGTACAGACTGTTCTGTCTCTTCATGTAAACAGATGCACAGCTGCATATCTAGTTGAATCTGTTGTGCAGGTAAAAACCAAGGTATCTATAAACTGGAATCACAGTCTAACAATATTTTAAAAGCTAAATGACTGCAGAATGAGATAATTGTTTCAGGAAATACTGTGAAATGTTTCTTTACGATGACACTTCAAAAACATCATTTTTGGATCTTGTCAAGTTCTTATCAGCTATCTCTGAGCAAAACATTATATATCAAAGGCTGGTTATCACTATTATCACTTTAGAATAAAATCATTCCTCTTCCTTAAAAAGCTTTGGTTACTCACTCTCCCAGGATGCCATTGGATATTGAGTGGAACGACACCATCTCTACTTTGTCTGAGTATTTAGGTCCCATGTCAAAAAGGACCTTTTTGTAAGAAAGAAACTTTTGCTCCTGTCCAAACACACTGTCCTGGTACACCTAAAAGGAGGTGAAAAGGTAAGAGAAAATTACAATTTCTAACAGTAAAACAAATAAAATCTATTATTTACCACTTTATAATGTACTTACCTCTTCAACTAAAAGAAGGAGCTGCTCTGATGCAGCAAACCGAATCACTCCTTCTATAGTTTTAAGGTCTTGTACATGACCTAACAGAACACAAGATATTTTTTTATTTGTCTTTGAGTAAAATATGAATAGTAAAAAAAAAATACAAAAACATGTGCACGACATAAGAACAGAATGAAAACATACATAAAAAAATTAAGATTAAATATCTAAATTAGGATTGAACTTTAAAATGAAGTTCACATTTAGAAAAAGTGTCATATAAATGTTCTTTGTTGATGAGCGTCATGTTTTTGGGGTATGTAGCCTTCTTTGCTTGCTCCACAGAATACCAGGACTCTATCACAGAGTTCCTTAATTCCAGCCCTGGAGGTCCCCAGTAAAACACCGTTTAGATATGTCTCTGCTTCAATGCATCCGGGTCAAATAATCAGCTCATTAGCAGGAGTCTGGAGAACCTGACTACATACATATATCCACCTTCTGCACACTTTCTTCACCACTCAGAGGAGCCTGATCAGTGGGAGATTGCTCCTCCCAAATGCAGGACTAACAGACTGCTGAGCACAAGCCAACAAGCAGCACAACTCCTCACTTGGTGAAAGGAAGAGGTGTTAGGAAGAGGGACAAGGGTCAGCAACCCCCTCCTTAGATATCTTATGTAAAACATTACCTATTGTCACTCGTGCAATATTCTACTCTCTCACTGTGCAAGAAGACATGCCAATACTGTGTAGCCTGTGTAATTTTTTACTTATTTATAATTCAGTACATCTCTGCACTACAAGTGCAATAATCCAAGTCAACTAGTGTTTAATCTGTATATTTTTTACTTATTTATATAGTCAGTACATTTCTGCAGTGCAAGTGCAATAATCCAAGTTAACTTCTGTGTAGTCTTTCCTTAGCTCTCTACTGTGCAGATAGTTTCATATCTAAAGGAAACATATTGGACATTACAACTCTTTAATGTTTGTTTTTTTTTGTCCTATATACACTCTTTTTATATTGTATGTTGTACTTTTATCTTTAATGCACCCTGCATTAACTCTGCCCTTTGTACTCTATATAAGCTACTGGAACCAGAATTTCTCTGAAGGAGTAATCTCGAGGGATAAATAAAGTTGAGTCTAAGTCTACTGAGGAGGTAATTCGGCCATTTGATCTGATCTGAAAGGATTGGAGCTGGAATTAAGGAACCAGTCTTAAATCGGAGGATCAGATTTTAGTCTGAATGACCTCTGCCTAGGTCACTCCAAAATCTTCATATAAACTTATATCAAAAGAAAAATGTTGGTAACATTAAAATTACTTTTAAAATCTGCAGGGGGTTTCAACTAAAAAAAAAAATACTTTGGATCAACTTAAAGAATTACTGTAATTTGTTACATTTAAATATAGTACTTTTTCTCCAAAGAAATTTACGAGCTGGGTGAAAATATATTTATTAAAAATGTTTTTTTGTTTGTTTTTTTTTTTACCTTTAGACAAAGAAAGAAACTGCATTCATACAAAGTAGGACTATAACTTATAACATAACATAAACAAGTTTTATGCTTTGTTATAACTTAAAATTTTAACTTGGAAACAACAACAATACAAAAAGTATTAATTTACTTTTTAATAAAGATGTGAAAAAAAAATCTAACTTCCAGCAATATTTATTGACAACAGCCTTTAGTTTTCAACATTGCATTAATCAATAGTTTTATCTTTTAATTGTTTATTTAACAAGCTAATGAACCTGTAACGCCTCAGAGTTCATAGAAAATTGTTTTATTGTATGATATCTGAGACATTTCAATTAATACCTGTAACGTTTTCCCCTCATAAACATTTCTGTGCTAAAACTGAATAGACCGTATTAGTTGTAACGTAAACCTTGCACATGGTGTTGCAGTGGTAGCCATACTTATTTTTTAATTAGGTCGGGTAATGAGGTCATTTTCACATGAGTTACCACATGTGAAAGGCTAAACCGCTGGGGAAATTATTACCTTTTGACTTGAAGCAGATATTTACTTGGAAACTCGATTTTTTTCCCCCCATGATTTCTAATTCCAGGTAATGTGAAGTTATTGGATCAATCCACAAATATCTTTTTTTTTTTTTTTTATGCGGAACAACATCAGATTTTAAGTTGACCTATTGAAATGGAGATTTCACTTCTTTCAGTGTTTAATTGTGTATTATTGATGGTCTCTGTGCTTCATACCTGTGGGGTTTCCAGGGTTACTTATGTAAATAGCTCTGGGCTCACAATGCCCCTTGGCGGCCCTCAGAGCTCGTTGCAGCTCTTCCAGCTCTAAGGCCCAACCTTGCTCCTCCAGCAGCTGGTATGGTATCAGTTTGATGGCAGCCTCATCCAGCAGCATGGGCAGGGTGTGTGGACATGGCAAGGGGGTCAGCACACCTGCCTGAGTGGGCCCCTGTCCACTAGACATCAAGTGTAGAACCAACTAAAAGTAATGAAAAATAATAGACCGAAACATTGGATGTTGTATCATAACATTTGATTTTCCAGCTATAACTGTCATACCATTAAGGTTGTCTGTGAACCGCTGGAGAAGATGATGTCCTCTGGATCTGAAGCCACACCGCCATCTCTCCTTGTGATAAACTCTGCAATGCTTCTCTGGATTTGAGGTATCCCACAGGAAGAGGCAGAGTATGAGCCTGTCATGGGTAATTAGATTAGCTTTTAGAGCAGAAACTGCCAGACATTAATGATATAAGTCTGTTTCACCTTACCAACGCTGCCTCCATTACAGACACCCAGCAGCTTCTGCGCCCTCTGGCGAACATCTGAAGGAAAACTGTTGTCCTTAAGAAGCTCAGGGTACAAACAAGCTGCCAAGACCTTGGTGAAGCAAATAGATGGCAGTAACAGGGATGAATGTTTAGGGATGATCTGAATGAAACTGAGAAAAAGGTGCAAACAAAATGTTTGGGACCAACCTGGCGAGCAAACGAGAGTGGGCGCATCCCTGTCCTATGGGGATCTCCTGAGCTGACATCAATCACCCTCTGAAAAGGTTTCTGCTCACCCTAAGAAACATGTCAAAGTTTACGAACTTTATGGAAGTGCATTAGGTGCTTCCTAGCATCTAGCTACCTGCGTCCAGCTGGATAAAGTTAGTATGAAGGAAATGCATGAAAGGAAATCGATTATTTGAACTTGCTCAGCCCAACAATTCAACAAAAACCACAATCCAAAGCATTGTGTCTGTATGTAACCCACTTGTCTTTAAGCTCTCGTGAAAATCTGGTTTAGTTTTAGGTTGTTAATCAAGATTTATCTGTAAGTAAAGCTGGATAGTCTTTAGACTATAAACTAATAATATTAATATCTTTATCGCTGCGTTCAAGGCAGCATATTTTTATGAGCAGAATTTAAAGTAACCTGTGAACTGAAAAGGCTTGTAGCTAATCAAAATGTCTACAGCTGCATCAAATACGTTTTTTCTTCAAGTTTTTTATATATGTTCAAAAGGCTAAAAAAAATTTCAATAATTTTATAAATGAATTAGATTTAATATTTACCATTTGACAGCAGGTATATATAATATTATATTGTGCATGAACAATATTGCAATGCTTAGAATATTTGAATCACTAATAAGGCTAAGTTTCAGTTATTGTTCCTTTTAATGTTTTTTAAGAACTCTAAATCTCTGAAAACAGAACCACGCCAGGAAAGATGAAAACTTGTACAGCCTGAATCCAAAGGACTAAAAACAAATACGAATCAACTCTGCAAACATTTAAAATTAAATAATCCTTCAATTGAGTTCTTTATCCTTTAAGCTAGAGGCTCAAATAACTCAGTTTAATATCAAAATACCAAAGAACAAGATGAGACATTTAAAAGTTATAGAAGTTGGCATCTATGGAGATCAGAAACCTAAATAAATCATACAAATTGATGAACAGTGTTTGCTACCATTATGGCCACAATAGTAACAGGATTGTGAGTTTTACTGCACTGACTTTTCTCCTCCTGTTAAACATGAACCTTTAAAATGGTGGTTTAATGTAATTAAAGTTTAACCAAGAGGGTGCCAGACAAAGTTTCAGTTTAACTTTAAGGACTCTGTATAAACCTCTGCCGATGAATAATACAACACAGATATTTTATTTTTCCTTTAGATGCCTACACAGTTTAAAGGACTGCCCTGTATTATTTGTGATAACATTTGCCAAAGGCTAAGTGGGGATTTTTTTATTGCTCAGCGAACGATTAAGTCGGGATTAGAACTGCAAACACGAGGGATCGTTTGAACCTGTTGATGGTGCTTAGATGACTCACCTTTGCAATCTGTTGAGTGATCTGTGCAGCGAGACCCTGCAGGTTCACAATGTTTCTGATCCCACGGACCTTCGGGTTTACCTGCTGCATAGAGCTCATCTTTGTTCAACTTACTAAAGGAAGACTAAATGCCCAGCTAGACAGGAAGGAGGCGGGTGTTAAAGAAGGCAGAACCAGTTGTTTATGCTGAGTTTTTTTTTTTTTTTTTTTTTGACAATTCAATGATTAAAACACAGATGTGTTGTTTTTGGTTTCTTACCTTTTGTTTTTATTAAACTTTTAGGAGTTAAGGCCTGAATTAAAAAAAAACAACAACAATGTATTTGATGATTTATCATTTTCATCAGTAGATGTTTTGCTTTGATTTCTCTTAGCAAACACATAACTCATGAGGCATTTGGATTGCTTTGCTGCGATGAATGTGGATCCATAGCAAAGTCATGGTCATCAGGAAGGTGGAGGAGCTGGACAGGTATGATCGATCACCACAAGCTACCCAAAATACCTCATTTATCTGACAGCAGTGACAGTGATGGAATAACTCAAAGCATTCCTGATCATTCCCAAATTAATTCTATATACATGTTATATTTATTGCACATAAACAAATACATATTGGAAATTTTATTTTAATTTTAATGACAGTTACACTTGTTACACTTAGGAGACCTGTATAAGACCATTCACAATTATTGCCGTATCAGAAATCAGGATTAAACCTAAAAAGTTATGGATTATGAGATGAGTGATTTTAAACTTCACTGAACTTCAGTTTGATTTGTTAATGAGATTAATTTGTTTAAACCAGCACATTTATCAAGTCATTTCCACTTACCACACTAGTTTATTTGAATAGTGCTTTTCTTATTTGATTCTATGTTTTTGTCTATTGTAGCACTCTTTTGACTAATACAAGGCAATTATGTATGTCGCCCAATAAAGCTAACATCTAAAACATGTCCGGCACAGAACTAATATATTTATCTTTCAAATATGTTCCTTCTCATTTTCTACTCTTAACATCGCTGTCAACGAAGCGAAGATGGAAGGTAGAGAGACGATAAAGAACCTCATCCAGGGCGTCAGGAGGAACCAGAACACATAATCTAAAGGAAAGTCAAAAATTGTAAATACCAATATTTGTACTAACAAACTATTCAGTGCTGGATCTAACTTAGATGTTTCCTACCTTAGATGATGGCTGCCAGTTCTTTCATCATGTTGGCCTGGTCCTGTGATCAAACCCTCCTCCTGCAGCAACATCTGGCAGTAAAACACAACTGGTTCCAGTCCTAACATCTGAAAACCCAAACATGAGTAACAGTACAATAGGACAAAGATTTTCATTCCATTAATTTTCTTTGTTTCATTTTTAAGCATGTGAATCATGAAGACCATATCATTTTAACTTACTGTTCTTGATGTTGTCGATCACTTAGTTTGTTTTATTACTCTAATAAAGACGTTTTTTACTAAAGGCTAGTTTTAAATTCTTATTTGCACTATATAAAATCATTTGCTGGCTCATATTTATTTCTGATGACTTGCATGCATTTTAAAACATTTGATTTTTTTGGATATAGACAAATATTATGCAAGACCAACTCTGCTATATTTAAAAATAAATACAGAAACATGAGGAGGGGTGTTTCTAAGAGGCTCAACTTCTGCCCATTGGTTGGTTAGCATTTTACTTCATCGGTCGAATCTACAGGATTAGAGGAGAGACCCTCTTAGACACACCCCTCCTCATTTACATAATGAGGCAGAAATGCAGACAGAAATGTAAAAACGACAGGCAGAAATAAGTAGCATGGAAGAAATAAGGAGGATAAAAAAAAATACAAAGGAATAATAAAACAGACAAAAATATATCATGCACATAAATAAATACTTGAAAAATAAGTAATAAATAAATAAAGTTGAAGATTATAACGGACAATAAATAAATAAGATAATTATTACAAAGGCGAATAAATAAAGAAACTAATAAAAAGATATATATATGTCTCACTGTATAATTTAAATTCTACCTAAATTTATTTATTTTTATTTTTTTGGGGGGGGCAATTAATTGTATGCTTATTTATTTATTGAGCATTTATTTAATTATGTATTTATTTTTAAATATGGCAGAGTTGGTCCTCCATAAAATATAACCTATTTATAACAGCAAAGTTAAACTTTTGTGTTTTACATTTTGAATTTTGCTTCTGTATTTTGGTTATTCAAGAATAAGAAAAAATATATCTAATTAAATGTTAAAAAAATAGAAAAAACTAAGAAACCATGTTAATTCAAGCTAACAAAAGGCACTACTGGGTTATTGAGAGTTAGCAGCAGTGTCTAAAAATGTAAAATAAAATACAATTAAATTACATTGTTCTTTATAAACTACATTTTTTTAGCTTATTTGTTCTTTATAGATTGGATCAGCAGCACTTCCTGAAACACATGATGCTACATGGTGTGTGTGTCCTCCCATTTCCCATTGACATGATATTTTTCAGAAGCAGTATGTTTTGCTGTTGTTTTTTTCCTAAAGTGTGTGTACTTGGTTCTTGGTTGCTATATCTACTGCACCTTTCCGCACCTTGGCTTGCCTCCTGAACTCAGGAGGTAGATCCAGGTGTGGGTAAAGGTAGATTCCTCCTTTCGCAGGCTGGCAGCTTATTCCTGGTAGATCGTTCAGCAGCTTCAGAGCCCGCTGAGCATTTCGGGCCAGAGTGGCTTGAGTCAGGAGAGTCTCCTTCAATGAAAATATCATCGAAGACAAGACTGTAAATAGGTGAACAACGGGAGCTGCTGATGAACCTTTGGTTTTGTTCTAACCTGAGCAAATGTGTTATATGAAGGGTCACCCAGTTTGGGTGGGTTGAGCATGAGATCCAGGGCAAGTTGTCCTGTGACTGGGGCATTAATGTCAGTGCAGAGCAAGGTATCAACGTAATGCATCACCCTGGAGTCAATGTTGACCACCTCCATGTATCCTGCTCTGAGGCCACACCTACACAAATCAACAGGAGCTGATTAAAATACTCTGAGCTTAGAAAAGATAGCAATCTTCTAGAAAATCTATTAGCATACTTATTATATTCAAAATACTGATTATATTTTTGTTTAATTATTAAAATATACAAACATGTGTTCAATAAAACCTATAAACTAATATTTAAAAGATAATTTTAAGATTCCAAAAAAGAAATTCAAAATTATTTTGTAAAAAGATAGGTAATTTAAAAAGTCATAAAAATCTTTTTAGAAAGAATATAATATTAGTATTTTGCTGAGATTTTCCTTGGCTTAATCTGATTATCTAATGACATGATATAAAAGGTAACAGGAACTCACTCTGCTACAAAGGCACAGGATAAAGAGTGGAAGGACACAAGCTCGACAGAGTCTCTCAGATGCTTTTCCATCTCAAAAAGAACCTTCTTATATGAAATAAACTCTCTGTTTGGTGCATAAATGCTGTCCTGGTAAACCTGGAGGGAGGAGAAGAATAGCTAATGGATAAATAAAATGATTCTTCTGATGCTGAAGTGGTATACAACCATCACCTCATCAACCAGCAGCATAAGTCTTTCGGCTGCAGCGAACTCTATCACTTCTTCTATTGACTTCCTGTCCTGCAAATGTCCTAAAAATTAGAAAACATCAGCCACAGTAGTCTGAAAAAGATCTTTATTTAACTTGTGTGCAATAAAGGATGTACCTGTTGGAATTCCTGGGTTGCTGATGTAAATTGCTCTGAGCTCACAGCGCCCTCTGTAGGTCGTTAGAGCTTGGTGCAACTCACTCTTGTCAACAGCCCAGTTCTTCTCCTCTATCAGCCGGTATGGTACCGCCATCACCCCGGCCTCATCAAGCACTGGGAGCAGTGTGTGTGGGCAGGGCTGAGGGACCAACACACCTGTCTGATGCTGCCCCTCCCCTCCAGACAGCAGCTTTATAAATACCTTAAAACAGAAACAGAAACCTTCTTCACTGAGCTAAACTTAGAAAATACTTTAACCACTATCTTATCAGATTTTATAAAAAAAAAAAACTTAATGAATAAATAGATACATATTAGAAACAACTGAGAAGAAAACCAACTTTGCAGCAATAAAAAAAAAAAGAATGAATAATGTAGGACATAATTAAATTAATACACGATACTAAGTTAAAAACTGCAGTTTTATTTTTCTTGCATATTTGATTTGACTTAACGTTTGATGGCAGATAAAAAAAAAGATTAAGGGGCATTAAAAGATCTTTGTTTTCAACTTCAAGGAGGGAACTATAAATCAGATATTTACAATCAAAACATTTTAAATATTTCTCTTTACCACATAATTGCCTTGATTTAACCAAAATAATGCAAAAATATTGCATGTACTTTAGCACACACATTGATAAGTCTGACTTAATATCAGTCAATCTTATTAAACACTTCTAGGGTTGTGGGAATTAATTTAATTTTAGGAACATTTGGAACACAATTGTTATGAGGGATATACCCAGTGCTTCAGGAAAGCAATAAAAATAAAACAGCAATTTAAGCTTCATGCTTTACATAAGAAGCTGTATATTAGCAATTTTTGTGATTTGTATGCAGTAAAACCAGAGAAACAGCGCTTATTAATTGTTTTTGTATTTAAACACAAATAATGGAAAATCTCTTATTTTTAGTAATAACATTTTTTTTGTTATATCTTCCATTATTTTATATTTCTAAGTCAGACTTCCAAAGTTCCATTAAAAAAAAACAGAACCCCGCCTGATGAATGCCTTCTAAGCTATGAATTTTCTACTAATTTGCTCATGGCTTTATAAAACAATAGACTCTTGTGATTCTTGATCCAGAAGACAAAAATACTGTTGGGGAAATCAGATGTTGCTGAGGACTTCTATTGCGTATGATTGATAAATCTTTGAAAATACAGAGAAATCTGTAAGTATTTGTATATCTTGAGGTTTTATCTAAGCAAACACATTTTTATGAACATGTTTCTTTACATTTAAATACATAGAATATGTAATAGGACACCGTGATTAATCTATGGTTACCGGAAGGTAGCAGCATAGATGTGTATTAATCTCCCTAGTTTCCTGATTTGTAATTACACTGTTTTTTTGATAAAATCATTCCCAAATCTGACCTCTAATCAAATTAAGGAAAGCATGATATGCTTATTTGGGATTTGGTCCTTTCTTCAGGTTAACTGTAAAATAATCAAATAACAAATTGTCCCTAGTATTTATTCAATAAATATAAAAGCTCAAGATGTTCCCCCTGGTTCGATAAATATTTTTTCAGAAATACATGATTTAGATGCACATCAACTCTAAACCAGGGGCAGACTAAGTACGTTCATCCTTCGGATTTAATGGAAAAGCAGATCGAGAATTCTCTAATCCAGTTAAATTCACTTCGTCACAGAGTCATTTTTCCCTGGAGTTTTTTTGTTTATAAAAATTAGATTTTCTGTTTAGTTAATATTTGTTTCTCATTTTCTGGAACCAAAGAAGTATAATTAAAAAAAAATCTGTTTTTCAAAATATGAAATTTATTTAAAGAGTTGTAAATGTACAGATTTAAAAAAAATGTCTGTCCTCATGTTATGGAAACAATTGCAGAAATAAATTATAAATGTATTATTACAAATGAATAAAAATTGAAAACTAAAAGTTTGACTGACTTAAATTCCCAACCTTAATACAAAGAAAATCTGAGAAGCACTTGAACTTCTGTGAAGTTACTTTTTCAATTTACTGTAAAGTAGTTGTTGTGTTTACACAATCCATGTTGGATCTGGAGGTCTGTCCACCTTTCTCCAGCAGAGGGCGTTCTAGGTCTCCTGGAGCTGAAGCTGACTACCACACCTGCGGCTCCTGAGCTCATCAGGAGACCGGCATTTAAGGAGAGGCAGAGCAACACTCCGACGCCAGAGTGTTTTGCCAGTTATGGTTAGCAAGCCTGAGCCAACCTGCCTGTCTGATTCTCTGACTCCCTTGAAGCCTGAACCTGAACCTAATCTGTTTTTGTCCTCTTTGTTTCTCAGGAAGAACCTTCCTGAAAACCTGAAACCTGGAAGAGTTTCTCAAGCGTGAAACCAAGCAGTCTGTTCTCAGAAGAACCCTGGAAATCCGAATCAGTCTGATACCTGCCTGCCCGCTCTCAGAAAGAACTGAGAGAGAAGCTCTGAACCTGCTCTGTAAGATTTACCACTCAGCCCTGCCTCTGCCTAGCCCTCTGCCTGCCTTCAGCCTCTGGACCCTCCTGGTTCCCCCCTTCTACCGCTCTGCTCAATCTCTGATCAGTGAAACCAGTCGTGACCAGACCCAAACCCGATTTATCCCAGAACCATTGTTCTTTATTGTGATCTGTTTTCAAATAAACTTTGTGAAGTTTTTCCCAGCCTCTGAGTGTTCTGCATGTGGGTTAGATCCCTGAAGACAAACATGACAATCCATTTAAAGCAGATGTCATGGATTACTCAAAATTCTAATAAATTTGCACCAAGTTTGCCAAATTTTTGTAACACTGTTAATAAAGTCTTGTTTTAAATATTTTTTTTCATAGTATATCTCTGACAGTATTTTATCTTAATTGACACATCCTTCAAGTTGCTATGCAACATAATGATCCCTATAACAATGGTATTATTGATGTGGGGAAAACTACCATTAAACAATAGTAATAGTAAAGACATAGCATATTATTCATACCATCAGAGCTCTCTGAGCACCAGAGGAGATGAAAATGTTCTCGGCGTATGCAGGAACACCATCCCGTTTCATGATGAACTCAGCAATGGTTTGTCTGACGTGAGGCAGTCCAGATGAGGCCGTATAGGAACCTTAAATCAGAGGAAAAATCTGCTGTCTATTGAACTTTTTAAAAAAAGTTGGTGTCAACATAAAACATTACATTTGGTGCAGTAGCTGGTTGATTCAATGACAGGGATCTAAAGAACCCAAACTGATGTCTTTAAGGTTGCTTGAATTTGATAGAGAAATCTGAGCTCTCAGTAAAATTCAAAGGTTGGTAGAGACACTGAAACTTCATTGTCAAAAAAAATTAAAAATTTAGTTTTTACTTCAGGTTGATGGCACTTTTGCCCATAATGAGATATAAAGTGTGTTATATGGCTACTAAAGGTGGACAGTATGCTAAATCAAAACTCTTAAAGCCAAAACTAATTTTATAAAGTAAAATAGGCTGCTAAGAGAGATGGAGAGACTAAAACAATAAAAAAAACATATATAAATACACAGCACAATGGCAATTTAAAGCAAAAAATCTAATAGATTTCTCTTATTTGCTGCAAAGGTCTTAAAAGGTTGCAAAGTGGAGCAGCTTCTTTCTCATCATCAATAGAGGAGAATAAGAAAAATCCTAGATTTCTCTTTAAAACTTACTTGTCCATCCCCTTTCTCTTAGTAGTAATGATTTTATCGACTTTTTTTTAAAATAGAATTGATTCCATGAAAGATACGATTGTTTGAACCTACAAATATGATTAATTTATTTTCAAAAATAAGCGAGAATTTGTGGTAAGTATAGAATCTAAACTATGTTTGGACTGGTTTGATCTCTTTGAGCTTTCTACATATTATTATTATTATTGGCTTCATCAACGCTTTCATCTTGTATGTGAGATCTGGTTCCAGACAGACTATTTCAGGAAGTTCCACGTCCATTTTTATATACTGTAGGACAACTGACAAAAAACATTTTCCCGTCATTAAGATTAGTTGGTAAGGAAAATGTAAACTTGATGTCTAAGCAAGTATATTCAAATTAATATAAAACATTTAAGTTTTAGTTCTATAACAATGTGATAACTTTTTTTCCTTAAATGCTGTAAACATTGGATAAAAAAATGCCCTTTCTTTGATTGGCTTGTGGTGTGGTTCATTTACATATAGCAGCTGTGTCTGAATGTCCACCCTAATCAATATATAGGGCACTATATAGTGTTTACGCCCTTTTAGAAGAGTGTCCGAATGTCTAGTGGATTAAAAAGTAGTGGAATCAAATTTTCCCAAAATGAACATTAAAAAGTAGAGAACATTCATGTGCTGAGGTAGAATTCAGCGGCTACATCCTCCGAAGGCCAGATTCGTTGGCCGATTACGTCATAGAGTGACACCGAGGCCTGTTTAGGTTGGAAGACTCCAATACGTGGCCAATAGATGCAGTCTTCATTTAGCCCGTTTTGAAGGATGTGTCTGGTGTGTCCTACTTTGTCTTAGGTATCCCGTGATTCATTGCGAGTCCAAAAAAGCCTGCTGCTCTGTGCTCAGAGAACAAAGATAAATGGTGCAGAACATTGGCGATTATTGTAATTACAGTTTATTATAATACAAGTATGTACATAGTTCCATATAAAATAAATGACAATAGATGTTTTAAATGATTATTGAATAAGATATGTGGCAGGTAATGCTGCAAATGGGTTTGGCTGATATTTAAAGGGGAACACCTTTTTTTTTTTTTACTTTGGGCCCTTCATTTTACGTTACTACATGTTCTACTCACCCATATGAGTTTTGTGTCATTTGGAGCTGTTCTGAAGATATTTGTTTTTTTTATATCCAGGTAACGTCTTCCTATGGGCAGCTACTTGCACGCACAAACTAAACTGTTCATAATTTATTCTTTATAGTACGCCAGCATTCATAACATGTAGGCGAATCACTGTCCCCCAGACATCCACGGTTATATTTTTGATAATTATATGTTTTTAAAAACAAAGCGGAGTGTGTATGATGTCATCTGTGTGTGCCAGCTACCATTAATTCATCCTGTCCACTGAACTGCTGCTAGTTTTACTCACATGCCTGGAAGATGTCTAGTGCTACAACCACAGATGATCTCGCTCTCGAAATGGAATTGAACAATTCAGATTAGCTAGCCGAATAATTATTAGGGGTAGAGCGTAGCCGCCTGTGGCCCGGGCTGCCTGTCACAACTCCAGTCCGGCGTGCCATGATTAATGATGTTCAGGTCGGATGAATGCACCCTGTCTGTTCAGACACAGGTTTCATTTTTAAATATGGGATACGTATCAGATTCAGGACCATATAGCCAAGGGCCAGAGTTGCATTGGAAAAAAAATCAGATCAGTGCTGCTCAGAATGTCATGAAAATATCAGATACAGGTTGGATATGAGCAAAAAAAAAAAAAATGGATTTGTGTCACTTCAGACTGCTATGTGAACAGTGAGTTTTATATGTAAAATTCTTAAATTCTTACCCACACTTTGACCATCACACGCCTCAAGGAGCTTTTGAGCTCTTATCCTGACGTCCAGAGGAAAAATTTCTTCTGTCAGCAGTTCAGGGCACAAACACACTGCAATTACCTGAGAAATAATACCAAAAGCATAGGGAAAATAGCACAAAGTAAAAATATAGAAGATTTTAAACAGTTACTATGACTGTTTAGAGAAACCTTTTTGTTTGTTTGTTTTTAGGCTAACCATATCAAGGATGTTTCTGTTTGCTAAATTATAATATAAAGAGAAATTCTTTCATTGAAAATGTTATTTCTTCCGTCAGATTTAAAGGTCAGCCTGATCACACACCTTTCCAGGTGTGCCGATTACGTACATTACCAAGTATGTCCGACCCCTGAAAATTGCGGGAGGTTAGTGCAACAAGATGAATCCATGTTTCTTTTTTCTTCATTATGCATGCCGCATAAGATCCGTTGTTCAGGCACTACTTGCAAGTGTTAATTAGTCAAGCTTAAAACTGAAACGCATTCAACAGGGCTGCCAAGCTTCCCGCACTGAGTGTGGCAGTCACTCAATTTGACCCATTTTTACGAACCATGTCACAAATTATATTTGTCACGCATATTTCACATCATTCAATATTTATTTAATACAGCTGGCCATTTTTAGTCTAACTCAAATTGACTGACCGAGACAACCAATCCATCAGATCTTTGTGTCTAAATCTAACCAACCATGGAAAGCAACACATAATATAAACCAATCAGAGGTGACCTAAGGCAGGTCTTGGTGTCTCTTGCTGTCTTACACACACAAGAGCTTCAACATTTAAATCGCATTGGATTGCTCTCTTATTGCTGGAATACAGAGGGTAGCTGGCTACTAATTATGACCACTGTTGATTTGTTGTATTTGCTTGAGTTCTTAATTAATATGTACTAATTTAATGCCGCTATAATTCTATTATTTCCTCTAGTACTAGCAGATCTTTGCACACTTTATTTACTCCAAGACTCCAAGGGTATGCTGAAGTTCATTCTTCAAGAACTACCATCCTGTACATTTTAGATACATCTCTTCTCTAACACACCTGAATCTAAGGGCTGAATTTCCTCATTTAGCTCATCAGAGGCATTTTAAGGAGCAACAAATATGATTAATGTGTTCTGTGTGCTGTTTTCAGTACAGGGGCAACAACCTGTTCTAAAGGGGTGCTGGCCCCTGCTGGACCATCTCTAAAACCGCCCATGTAGCAAACATATCTGGCACCAGCACTGATGGGTTTTTTGTCCCACCATCAAATATTAATTTTCACAATCTGATATCTGTTTTTTAAAATTTAATATATATCAGCCTCCTAGCTCTGTCATCAAGGCATTAAAATGTGTAACAAACACAACATTAGAGATGTCTTATGTTAAAGGATGCTATTTTGTTGTTTTTTTAGATGAAATATTGTCAAACGAGGGAGATCTAGGATTCTATATTTTCATGGTAAGGTCAATGTTACCAAAAACAGTCATGTGTTCGAATATGGTAACCGAAAATCCAAATATTGCTTCTCTAAGAATTTGTAAAAAGCACTTACAAAAAGAAACAAAGATATTTTTTTAAGGAACATAACCATAAAACATTACTGATGATATAGGAACTTTTTTTTTTTTCTTACCGGGTACTTAGATAATTAGGTTTTTAACTTAGTTTATATAAGTTACCAAAAGTGGTAACTCAAACAATAAAGGGTTATGTTTAATCGAATAACATAACAAGATTGATTTATGTAGTTTTGGTTCAGGTAGAATATTATCAAAAGAGGTATTTGTTTTAAAGATTTGATCTTTAGCTTTTGTTGAAAACCGTCATAGCTTCCCCGGGTCCATTGATTCATGTGCAGGTCATGGAGAGAAATAAAGAATGCTGGACAACAAAGCTTTTCTTTCGCCTCTGCAAAGGGAGAGCAGCAGCAGCAGCTTGCATCTGCGAACAGCAACTCTGACCCGCTGTGCAACACAGGCTCTTTTTATTATCTTCATCAAGGAGAATCAGACCCACAAGTCCCACAAGAAGTTACCGAGTGATCGTACTTCCTACATTCCTATCCCCATGTATGGAGTTGTTTCCTGTTTTTCTTCTCCCTTGTTAATCAGCTTTCTCTCTGTGTGTGTGTGTGTGTGTGTGTGTGTGTGTGTGTGTGTGTGTGTGCGAGCAAGGTCATTCTCAGCCTTCCCATCTGCACATGTTGTTTTGTACACTCTGTCCTGTAAATCTGCCCTGATACATATGAACAATAAGTTTTGCTGCAGCTTTAACTTAGCTCTTTACTACTTTTAGCTTAAACATGTATATATATCTTCACTTTACATCTATTTAGAATGTTTTTATTCACCTTCTGCCATGCCAATGCTTATATCCCCCAGTCATAGCTGAATCAAAGCATTTTCCAACATGCAAATGTGATGATAACGTAATCTAGTGACTTCCTGACCAGCCAATAGCAACTTTCCTTGCTAAAGAGTTGGTAACAGTGGACACAGATGTAATTGCTGCAAACTATCATCTCAGATGGGACCAGACCCTTAGTAAAGACATAAGTGGGAAGCTCAAAGAGTACTTGAAAAATTATTAAAAGGAAAACAAAACCTTTTCTTTTTTCTGTTCTCTTGACAGACATCCATTTTATGCTTTTGTAGTGGATCTGGTCCACAGACATTGTTGCCTACTAATGTCTATGTCTGGTCCCATATGTATTGATGGTTACCTCTCCTCCTATGTGTCTAGAGAACGTTTCTGTCTTTTGTGTTATAATCATGTATGTGTTTGCAGCACATTTGCATTTCCTGCTCTCTATTTTTTGCAAATGCAGTGTTTTTCTTATGCATTTGTTTTGTGTGTTCTTCGGTTTATCTCATTTTTGTTTTTGCAAGCCTAGGTTTTGTCTTTGCAGTACTTATTATGTTTGCTTAGCAGTTTTTTATCCGCATCACATATGCACCCCTTTTGCCACCCTAAATGTCTCGTTACTATTACAAAGCAGTTTATAAATCTGTTAATGTTAAGAAACTGATATATAAATAAATTATCATATGTTAATCTCAAAAGGAAGCAAACATGAAGAAACTAACCTGCCGAACAAATGAGATGGGTCTCATCCCTGCTCTCTGTGGATCACCACAGCTAACATCAATCACCTCCTTGAAAGATTTTTGCACCCCCTGTAGGAAATCCTGTTTTTAGGCACAATAGGACAGCATATTTCCTGAAGAAAATGTATCCCTGTCTATTAAAATAATAGGTTTAACAGTTCATTAGAGGCTCACCTGCATGTAGAGGGGATTTGTTATCTGAAAGTTTCATTCTTATCGTAGTTGGTTGTAAATTGCTTAAATTCTCTGATCTGGTAGAATTTTAAGCCTCACAATGTTTAGAGCTAAAAACAAACAGCTATCAGAGAGCATGCAAAATTAGTTTTTTTAAGAGAGAGTCAGGATATATTCGCTGAAATAATGTCAATTTCGAGATCTGATTTTAAGAAGTGCTTTCGAGGTAAATTGAAATCAATTTAATTAAATCATTCATAATTAGGAGATTTAAAAAAATCTGATAGACATACACAGTAGTTGTCATTTTTGTGAACATGTTTCTGATTTTTCACCATTGAGCCATAGGGTAGTGATAGAGTTGACTATATTTACTATAACTATCACTCAATCTTTGCTAAACAAGGGGAAAAGGATGGACTTACCTGGCCGATGGTGAAGTTCTCAACCAGACTCTTCAGTGCACTGTGAGATGAGATCCGGATCCCTCTCACTCTGGGATTCACATCTTGAAGGGAAGTCATCTTCCTTTTGCATCAGATTAATTTTAGTGAATACTTGTGAGATTTGTAACCTTTTGATTTCGAGTGTTCTCCAGGATTTTAAGCAGTTTCTCTTTCCACATTACCCTTGCATATCAAATGCTCACCTTCTTTAATTTGAGACTTAGTCATGTTCATAGAAAGCGCTAGTTTCTGCTATAACAGGGCTATTGCATGTTTACACAGTTCCAACTCAAAACTCTTCTGTGATGTTATCCTTTTCCCAAAAAAGCATAAATCTGACAAGAACTAATTAAGGGGGATCACACCCTTTCATATCAAAAAGTTATCAATCTGTTAGAAGGTTTTGAAGTAAGACAGCCCAACCCAGCCCAATTGTAACAGCATAGAAATTAGAAACCTAATCAACTTGCTACAATAAACTTGCTCAGAATATTATGTGAAATAAAGACTCTTCTTGATTAAATTGGAATCTGTTACTGTGCAAAATCTCACAAGATGATATTAGGGATATGATTTATTTTTAATAAAATGTTAATCTAAAAACGTCTACAGATACATCTCCTCATAATATGAAAAACTTAATAAGCAAAGTCTATTAAATAAAGCCTGTTTTGATAAGTGTCCTGAATTTAAATAGTAATGGTACCAAAAATGCATATATATATATATATATATATATATATATATATATATATATATATATATATATATATATATATATATATATACGTTATACTGTTATACTTACTGTGATTTGCAGCAATGAATGTTCTTATGTTCTTGATTTGATGTGTTTTCTCTAGCAGCTGCTCCAATGTTCTTGGTGAAAGTTCCTGACATACTGTTCAAAGAAAATTGGTTGAATGTATAACTGATGAACTACAGTTATTTGCTCTGTCCACTGTTAACCTAGTTTAATGTCTAACCATCTTAATTATTTCAGCAGGACCTGATTTTTGAGCCGGACTTTGAATGCACTTGATGTTCTGACACTTTTTTGTCTTCATGATAAATGTTACATGATTAACCCAAAATACATCCGTCCTTATAAACTAAAGCGGGACCAATTTTATGACACATTGAGGTCCCTACAGATTTGAGCTGAGTTGGGAAACGAGGTATCTATGGAGCAGACATGTTCATCCAGGTCTGGGGAGTTAAGAGGCAAGGGACATTTCAAGGAATACTTTTATGAGCAAAATTTTCCCGAAACCTCAACAAAAAGCAGCATTTTTTTTTTTTTGTTTGTTTGTTTTTTTGTTGTTAAGACAACGAGAGTTAAAACGTGGTTAAAAAATTGTCTTTAACAACAATATGGGGAATTTAAGGCCAGGACATACAAAATATCCTGATTGCTACTGCTGAATAATTGTAAAACTTGACGCTGCCCTGTGTGTAAGGCTAACCCTTTATAAACTGCTCAAAAAAACTAAAGGAAACAAAAACTAAACAACACAATATAACTTCAATTAAATCAAACTTATGTGAAACCAAACTGTCCACTTTGAAGGCAACTCTTGGTGTGATTGAAAATCATTTTCACCTGCTTGTCTGCAAATGGAATAGACAACAGTTGGAAATGATTACCAATCAGGACAGATTCAATAAAGGAGTGGTTCTGCAGGTTGGGACCACAGACCACTTCTAATTACCTATCTTTTCTGGCTGATGTTTTGGTCACCTTTGTATGTTAGTGATGCTATCACACTGGTAGCATGAGACTCACTCTACAACCCACACAAGTGGCTCAGGTAATGCAGCCCATCCAAGACAATGCTAGAACTCATGTGGCTGGAGTGAGTTAGCAGTTCCTGCAAGGTGAAGGCATTAAAGCTATGAACTGAAGCTCCCCTTCCCCAGACCTGAATATGATTGAGCACATCTGGTACATCATCTCTCAATCCATCCACCTTCATGTTGCGCCATAGACTATCCAGGAGTTAGTAGATGCTTAAGTCCAGATCTGAGAGGAGGACCCTCAGCAAACCAACTGCCACCTCATCAGGAGCATGTTCAGGCATTGTAATGAGGTCATGCAGGCAAGTGGAGGCCAAACACAATATTAAGCTCCATTTTGACCTGTTTTAAGGACATTACATCAAAGCTGGATCACCATTTAGTTTGACTTTCAATTTTATTTTTGTTTGTGACTCCAAATCCAGGCCTTTGTTGGTCAATATATTTGGTTTGCATTGATGATTTTTGTGTGATTTTGCTGTCAGCACATTCATCTTTGTACAGAACAAAGTATTCAGTGACAATATTTCATTTATTCAGATCTAGGATCTGTTATTTGAGTGTTCCCTTCACTTTTCTTTAGCAGTAGTTTGCAGATAAGTCAAGTTTCAGAACACATGTTGAATTCTAAATGATGCAAAAAATCTGCCAAAGAATGATCAATGGTTTACAGACGCAGACATTAAGGTGGTTTTGTTATGTACATCTCCTGTGGTTGTAAATAATTCCCTACATTTTTACAGCAGCCCTCTGGCTGCAGTGAGTAGGAGATGTATTATAAGCTCAGATTCCCATCTAAAGGCGAGATCATGTAGACTGCTTAGTTTTCAAATCCAGAAAAAAATTTGCCTGATTTAAAACATATATATATATCTTTCCTTGGCTAATGATTAATAACTCGGACTGTTTTCCTTAAATGCTGCCCCACGAGTTTCTGATTCTTCCCCTCCTGTTGGAGAAACCATGTAAAGTAGGAGCTTCAGAAGAAAAGTGTTCCCTTCTTACGCATCTTTGTGCTTCCTGACTTCATTTTCATTTTTTTTTTTTTTTTTTTTTGTATAACTGACTATAGTGTATATATGCAGTGTTGAGTCAAGGATTCTGTTTCATTTTGTTTCATCTCAACAGAGCCACAGAACTTTGCTATTCTGTTTGTTTTTGTGAACTTGGTCTTGTCATATCACTAGGTAGTGGTCAACTATAGTCAGTTTTAAAGGGCTGTATGTTTTTTTGTTTTTTTTTATTCCGTTATTCTTCTTCTTGTGGTACACATTTAAATGTGCAACGCTGCTTGTCCTGCCTTGTTTTTACAGGTCCAAATATACCAAATTTATAGTACAGTTTGATTGCTTTTACATATAAAAGAGAGAACATGCAAACTTCATTAGGAAAGACGAGTCACCTGGTCTATTGCTGCGTAACAAAGAGACAAACTGAAAATAAAGTTTAATTTGGAAAATGAAACGTTTTATAGAAACCTACACATACAAAGCAAAACATGAAAAAACAGAACAATCCCAGGATTTGACCCCAGGACCTTTGTGGAAAAGGATGCTTGATTTATAGACATTTGTGTCCATAAAATAATTGTGAAAAACAGATTTCAATTTTCTGAATTTGTGTGAAAATACTTCTCACACAGTAGTGTATATGTCAGGATTATGTGTATGTAACCCAAATGGTTACTGATGTTTTGCCAGAAAGTTTTTTCTGAATTCCCCTTGTACGCACCACCGTTCTCCTATAAGTTCCACTAAATGCATCATATGCTTGTCTGAGCAGACATGCAAATGGGTGACCTGAGCTACAGTATTTTAGAGATACACAGTCCAAACTTTTCAATCTTCCTTGGCAAGACACACCTTAACAAAAGGAATCTTGCTTTGGCCCAAAACTTCCTTATCTATCATAAGCCTTCTGGCACCAGAAGGGAATTTATTATTCTCCTCTTCTGTGGCTCAAACCGGTGTTCTGTCAGATCAGCATACCCATAGTAATACGCATGCATGCCATCAGATCGCCATACGCTTCAAAAAACACCAAAAAACTAAGTAATTAAATTGTACATAAAATATTTTGTACATGACTAAAGGTATACACGCCCATTGAGGTACTCTAAAGACTATTTTTTTTATACAAAACTAAAGGGATACTCGCCCATTGAGGCAGTTTATACTTTGTCTTTATTTGGAAAATATGAAGGTTGTGCTTTTTAATTTTCCTTTTGGATCAGTGTAGATTGACCCTGAGGTTCTGGCACCTATGCGCTGTCCGTCACCCCTCAGTTCACAATGGTTCCTGCCTGACTGCCCCTATAAAACAAATCTGGCTACGCCTCTGGATGCAGAGTCCATTAAAAAAAGTCCAGTATGTTTTTTTTTTTCATAAAAAAAAAAAAAAGTTTGAACAAAAGTTTAAATGAAAGACTGGCAGCCATATAAGATAAGAAGAAGCAGTGATACAGAGACTGGGAACATTTCTATCAAAGTGCAAATTAGAGGGCAATCTTTGTGATCAGGTGTGCTTCAGATTTGTAGTAATTTTGGTTAAATATATAAATCTCCATTTATACAATAAACCAAAACATTAATTAAAATGATCCAAAAATGCTTTAGGAACACTTTCCTCATCTTTTAAAAAAGTTTTGATTTGGACTTTGAGTCGAAAACATTAACTGGTGTACGGTTACATAAAGACACTGTTGAGTATAATGGTGATTATGATATAACTCCAGTCTAAAGTATAAGAGGATTAGGGAAAGGAATGAGAGGGTTATTGATTAGAGAGCAATGTTAAATAAAAAGAATCCTTTTTTAACCACTGAGAAGATTTTCAGAGACAAAGGTAAGTCAGCTATAAACAAGACAATCCTGTTTCATATTCCAGAAAGTTAAGAATAGATGAAGCGATAAAGCTATTACCTACAATTGACTGATCATGGCAGAGAGCAAAAAATGTGCATAGAAACAACTTTTTTTACTGTAAACCATTTAGGACAAAACTGACTGTAAAACTGCATCTTGTGGATGATTGGTAAAAATAGAATAAACATCACTTTTGAAAATGGAGAAACTACATTTTATCTGTAAATCTGTTTCTGGTAAGCTAGAGTATAGGAATGAGTTATGACATTTTCAGTTGATGCTACATTTTTTCCACTCAAGAGTCAAACATAGGGTGTGTAAGAGTTACCAGGTGAGAGCAGGAAAGAAAGGAGAATAAACAAAACGGATGCCTACAATTGCTGTTAGAAACTCTGGAAAATATGGCAGCTGTGGAAAAAGAG